CAACTCAAAAAAAAAGGAAAGATTGGTACGCAGACTTGTCCAGTTGGAAGTTCTGTTACTGCTCCTTTATTGTGTGGTCCAGCTCTCATCCTTGGTAAGCTCTTTTGTAGTTAAGACATAATCATACTGGTACCATCTAGACCCAGGGAGCTCTTTTATTTTACCTAGTTCTTTTTTTTGAGTTGGAGTCTCACTCTGTCCCCCAGACTGGAGTACAGTGGCCACTCCCAGTCACTGCAGCCTCAACCTGCTGGGCTCCGGCGATCCTTCCACCTCAGCCTTCCAAGTAGCTGGAATTACAGGCATGTGCTACCACAGCTGGTTAACTTTCTGATTTATTTATTTATTTATTTGAGTTGGAGTCTCACTCTGTCGCCCAGACTAGAGTGCGGTGGAAGATTTCTTAACCTCTAATGAGTATTCCCTAAGGGATTGCTGGGAAGGAATCCAGATATTTAAGGGGCTTACTTAACCATTACCACTTTTAAAGGGTCCTTGGTTTTAAGCTTTTTAAGAGCTCCCCCATGTGGTCCTTCTCTTCTAGAGTTCCTGACAAAGTATTTCTAGTTTTCTCTTTTACCTGCCCTACTTCCGACACCGCAGCAAATCCTCATTCAGAGTCAGTAGTTCTGTTTGAACTCATGTGGGACCAGAATGTTACCACCTTACATGAACCTAAATTCTTAGGTCCTAAAGCTAACTAGCAGACAGTAGTTCCTTTCTTGGACTTTTTAATTCAGGACCTCTTATTTACATTTCCCTAGATCATCCTATTTTGAGGTTGGCAAGAATCCACTCCCCTTTCGAGAACTAAATATTCCTCTTGAATTTTTCTTTTCTTTTCTTTTCTTTTTTTTTTGAGTTGGAGTCTCACTCTGTCGCCCAGACTGGAGTGCAGTGGCCGCTCCCGGCCACCGCAGCCTCGACCTGCTGGGATCCGGCGATCCTTCCGCCTCAGCCTCCCAAAGGCTCAGGATTACAGGCTGAGCCACCGAGCCCGGAGAATTCTTATTTTCTTTATCTTTTTTTTTTGAGTTGGAGTCTCACTCTGTAGCCCAGACTAGTGCAGTGGCCGCTCCCGGCCACCACAGCCTCAACCTACTGGGCTCTGGTGATCCTTCTGCCTCATCCTTCCAAGTAGCTGGAACTACAGGCACACGCTACCACGCCCGGCTAATTTTTTGATTTATTGTAGAGATGAGGTCATGCCAAGTTGCCCAGGTGGGTCTTGAACCCGCGGGCTCAGGCAATCCGCTCACCTCAGCCTCTCAAGGTGTGGGATTACAGGCTGAGCACCTGAGTCCGGGTTTTTTTTTTTTTTTGAGTTGGAGTCTCACTCTGTGGCCCAGACTGGAGTGCAGGGGCTGTTCCCGGCCACCACAACCTTGACCTGCTGGGCTCTGGCGATCCTTCCGCCTCAGCCTTCCAAGTAGCTGGAATTACAGGCATGCGCTACCACGCCCGGCTGATTTTTTGATTTATTGTAGAGATGAGGTCTCGCTGCCCAGGCGAATCTCCAACCCGCAGGCTCAGGCAATCCGCTCACCTCAGCCTCCCAAAGGCGCGGGATTACAGGCTGAGCCACCGAGCCCGGCTAGCCCTTTTTTTTTTTTGAGTTGGAGTTTCACTCTGTCACCCAGGCTCTGGAGTATAGTGGCATACTCACGACCACACCAGTATCGACCTGCTGGGCTCCAGTGATCCTTTCGCCTAAGCCTTTCAAGTAGCTGTAACTACAGGGACACGCTACCACACCCAGCTAATTTTTATTGTAGAGATAAACTCTCGCCATGTTGGCCAGGCTGGTCTCAAACCCGCAGGCTCAGGCAATCCATTCGCCTTGGCCTCCCCTTCATCCTGAGGGGGAGAAACCGTTTCTGACTTAAAAGTAAATAGTTTGTGGGACTCTTCAGTATTTTGGCCCTTAGTTTCTCGAAACACCCTGTTCTTGACCGGCTTTTGGCTTTGCGTTGTTATGGAAGGGGACACAGATGGTGACATTGTGAACCATGTTCTATTCACCAGATCACAAATAAGTTATACTAGTCAGTTATAAAAAATTTTTTTTCTTGAGTTGGAGTATCATGCCATCACCCAGGCTAAAGTGCAGTGGCATGCTTCCGGCCACCACAGCCTTGACCTGTTGTGCTCAGACGATTCTTCCACCTCAGCCTTCCACGTAGCTGGAACTACAGGCATGTCCCACCATGCTCAGCTACTTTTTTGATTTATTTTAGAGATGAGGTCTTGCCAAGTTGCCTAGGCTGGTCTCGAACTCACAGGCTTAGTCAGTCCTCTCGCCTTGGTCTTCCAAAGTGCTGGGATTATAGGCTTGAGCCACTGCACCCAGCCAGTTTAAAGTTTTTATGAACTAAAAAACTATGTCCTACACATTTGGCTCTATTCAAAATGGGAGCTAAGTTTTGCTGGCTACCTAGAATCAGTGAGGCATACTGAATACCTAAATGCCTTTCCCTTGAAGCCTAAATTGAATTCCAGGACCTCAAATGACCTATTTGAAACAAAGGCTTTATAGCCAGGTGTGTTCGGTGTGATAAGATCCTAGGACCTTTTAGAGTAAGTTAAGAAGTTGACACAAATTGCTTTCATCTGCCATTTTAAGCCCTGAAAGCTAGACCTTAAAAATAATAAAGTGAGTATAATTGTTGACCCATAGTTACTCTACTTGGTCTTTTTTTTTTTTTCCAGTCAGTCTCACCCAGGCTGGAGTGCAGTGGCATGCTCATGGTCACTGCAGCCCCAACCTGCCGTGCTTGGGCTATCCTTCCGCCTCAGCCTTCCAAGTAGCTGGAACTACAGGCATGCGCTACCATACCCGGCTAATTTTTTGATTTATTGTAGAGAAGTTGTCTTACCGTGTTGCCCAGGCTGGTCATGAACCCATGGGCTCAGGCAGTCCGGTTGCCTTTGCCTCCCAGAGTGCTGAATTGACAGGTGTGAGCCATCTCGCCCGACTTATCTACTTGGTATTAATGTTCCTCTTTAAACATCCCTTAGTCTTTAAAACTGTACTATCTCTTAATAGTAATAACCTACACATTGATAGAAAGCTAGAGTAAAGGCTTTGAGTTGTCTCAGCATTAACTCCTTGTGGCTACTTACAGATAAATGTTTCTTTCCTAAACTGATATTCTGTCATCTCAGCAATAAAGAAACATTGCTTCTGTGTATTGTGATCCTGTAAGAGGAGGCTTTAGTGGTAGCATTTTTTCAGAAAGTGTTCTAACATCTCCCACTTTGGAACTTTGCTACACAAGAGAACATAGTTTTAGGGATGTTTGGTAACCAGGGTACTGTTTCATTCAAGTAATTTCCCTTAGGAAGCTTGGCTTGCAGAAGTTAAAGGAGTATGGAACTGATTAATTCAAGGAACTTTTAAAAACTGCAACCTTCATACTGATGGACTGACATGTACTTTTCACATTTCACAGACAGGCTGTGTAAGTCTTAGGAGTGAGGTACAGCTGGGCACTAGGGAAACTAACTTTGAGTTCTTGTTTGTTTCTGTGTTTCAGGCTTTCTTCGGAGACGGGTGGCATGGGGAGCAGCTAGAACAATGCAGATTCATCCATAATCCCTTTCTGCTGTTCACCACCACCCATGATCCATCTGTGTAGTTTCTGAACAGTCAGCGATTCCAGGTTTTAAATAGTTTGTAAATTTTCAGTTTCTACACACTTTATCATCCACTCGTGATTTTTTAATTAAAGCGTTTTAATTCCTTTCTCTGTTCAGCTATTAATGCTGAGATCCATATTTAGTTTTATAAGCTTCTCCCTGTTTTTTTGTTTCGGTTTTTTTTTTTTTTTTTTTTTTTTGGCTCATGAATTTTTCTGTTTGTCATGGAAATGTAAGAGTGGAATATTAATACATTTCAGTTTAGTTCTGTAATGTCAGGAATTTTTCAAAAAAATTAAAAGATGGACTGGAGCTTTTTCTTTGTGAATAGAAACTGGATGCCACAGTGATTCATGTGGGCTTTATTCCTCTTGTCTTGCTGTTATTTTTGTACCTTTTATCCCTCAAAGGACCCTGCTTGGGTTTTGAATAGAAGCCTTTATTCCAGTTAAAATGTTTTCTTCTGTTTTACCACCTCCATCTTTTTTGTGGCCCTTGATCTAATTTTTCCTTGACTCCATGCTTGGTTGGCCCTTGTGAAGCTCATGACCAAAAGATTGGGGATTAGACTTACCAGTAAAGAGTAGGCAAGCACTTCCACTGCGGGTGGTGGGCGCCGTACATACATACACACGGAAACAGTTGACTATGTGTCTGACTGGGCTTCAGTTTCTTGGAAATGTCTGCCCCCTTACGCAGCTTTTAAACTAAAAACTTCAGTCTCTTGTTTTTAATGACTGTTCATTTACAGTCCTGTCTCTGTAATGAGTGGTTCTGTGTTTGTTCTAAAATCATCAGAAAGATTTACTTGCTCCCATCATTTATGCTGATAATTTTAGAAAGTTGGAGCTTGACATGATGTTCATTTAGTGAGAAAAGAGGGGGATAATAAACTGGGGGATTAATTTGTCCAGGCACCTCAGGTAAAGTCTGGAGCCCAAGACTTCATCTTAACTATGTATGCCACCCCATTCATGCATGCACCAAGAAAACCCTCAAGAGCTGGGCCTGCATGGAGTGGTTATATTTCAAGGTTTTTCACAGGGGTTACAATATGACAGTCCCCACCCCAATTAGGCACCAGGATAAAAGCAGGGACTTAAACAGCACCCCATTTCTTCAGCCTGAGCCATCACATGCTATCAGTCTTTTAATCTCCCCCAGGCCCTTAGCCAGGGCTTAGGTAGAGAAATGGAGGGACAAAGAAATGAGTTACATTGCCACCTGAGAAATCTCAGAGGGGAGGACCCAGCCTTAGTCTCCCTTCTCCCAAGTGCAAAATGTGTAAACAGAGTAAACGGAAAACAGAAAAGTGCAGTCTAACTGGTTCCCTCTCCTGCCCCCCCGTTATTTGGGCATAAAGAGTATAGAGACAAGCATGGCTTTTCTATTGCCTAATTGCTTGCTGAACATAGGGAATGGGGTGAAGCAGGAAGGGGCCAGTTTCCCCTTATGCACAGCTCTAGGGCAGTTCTTGTCATTCATTTCCACAGCTGCCAGTGTCCCTAGAGTCTTATCAGGTGAATTGGTCAGGGGATCGGTCTCCCTTGCGTCTGACTTAAGGCTGGGATAGCCCCATCTTTCTCTGTTGATTATGTGGCGCATATATATTATTTATATAAATATTTCTCTATGTACAGGGAATAAGAGTGGCTTCATGGAGGGAGGGAGGCTGGGGGCCGCAAGGCATCAATGCTGTTAGAGTTGTCCAGTTCAGTGCTGTCACAGTCCGAGTCCTCAGAATTGGGAGGGCCCTGTGAGGAAGAGTAGAAATGCAGTGAGATTCCTTCAGGGTCCCACCCCAGGGTCATTTTAGTAGCCAGTCGCTTTCTGATTTTATTCCTTCCAGGTTTAATTGCTCAGGCCATTTAGGATCCCTCCCTGTCTGCAACTTGTAGCTACCACGCAGCCTACTCGTCGGGCTCCATAATAGGTGCTCTGCATTCTACCTCTCAAATTCCCCATGTGGATGTTTGCTCTTTTTTGGATGGGAGGATGCGAGGCGCAGAGATTGATGTAGAGACCAAATACTTTCTGGCCTGTGTGTCTGTGTCCCCAAAAACTGTCACATGATCTACTTCCATTTCTCCCTGTCCAGTACCTGGTTGTTTCTGTTCTGCAACTCACCTGCTCCCTTCTGAGTAGCTCCTGATGTGGGATGGGCAGGGAGCTGGGTTCGGGGCCAGGGATCACCTCTGAAGGAGGTGGGTCCAGTGGGATTTCTGAGCCCTGGGAGCACATGTCATCAGACCGTTCATCTGGCCGCTCATCAGTGTTGGTACTGCCAACTTCAGGTGTGCCACTGGGGGAAGGCTCGCTAGCTGTACCTTCCTCCCCATCTGATGGGTTCTCTGAACTGAAGGTAGATAGTGACTGGCGCATATTCAGGCCCTGAGGCCACCTATATGTTAAAGATGAGGGTTATAGCTTGGTTCTGCCTCTTGTAGCCCAGAAAACCACTACCTCCACTGTTCATCACGCACCTCTGGCTTGATGTCAGCTCTACTTCACTGTCCACCTCTCCTTCCTCCTCTTCTGATGAGATGCCACGTTTCTACAAGAGAGATGAGGGGGCTGGTCAAAGTGGAAAGAGGTCATTAGTCCAGGCTTAAGGGAACATAGTTATAAAGGGTGAAGTTGGGAATGCCTTAAGATCAAGAGCATGATATGGGATGAGACTTGGATCCCCAGGAAGAACAAGGAAAAAGGGAAGAGCTCAGGAGCCTTCCCATACTTTACCTGACTTCGGGTGACGGCAGCCCTGTACAGCAGTGCAGCTGGGGTCAAGTGCTGGGACCCAGCCCGGCTTCCTCCCCGGCCCGTGGTCCCATCCCTTCCAGTTCCCAGCAGCCCCACACCTTCACCAGGCCCTACTGGAGGAGGTGGCTCCCCTTTGGCTCCTCCAGGTGAATCTGGGCTGGTGGAGCCAGGGGCTGAGCCCTCACTTGGGGGGGTGTCACCTCGGGCTGGAGGTGGCGAGCCAGGGTCTCCAGCTCCCCCAGTGGCCCCCCGGCCCCGGGACCCCAGTGCTGCTGACAGCAGGTCTGGGGATGATGAAGACATTTTGCGGAGCAGGAGGTCATGATGGAGCCCACGGAGGGCAGGCGGGCAGGCCTCCCAGGCTGAAGGTCCCCCTCCTGGGCTTCCTGGACTTCCTGGTCCTCCAGGTTCATGGGGTGGCACAGCTGCACGAAGCCCAGGCAGGTCCCCACAGCTGCCCTTGGCGCTGGCCTTGCGGTGACGGGTCTTGCCACGCCGACTCCGTCCTGGTGATGGGGGGCCTTTAGGACACCCAGGAAGCCCCACCCCACTTAGGGCTGCATCTAGTTTAGGTAGCAAAGACTCAGTCTTGAGGATATCTGGCCTGGTAGGGGAGAGAAAGTATAAGGTGGTGATAACCAAATTCACATACTCGGAGCACTCGCTAACCTTGGACAATACAATCTGCATCTTTCTAAACGTCCGCTGCCTCTTCAACGTCCCCTTGCCATACTAGAAACTCAACACTGAAGAAGTTGAGTCCCACCTTTTGCTATGGGGTGACAGCTTCTGTGGCACGTTCCTCTTCTTGATGAGCTTCTCCATTGTGTTCCCATGCAGGAGGCCTCGGGAAGGGTGTGGCTTCAGAAGACCAGGGCACCTCCGCTCTAAAGCTTGCTCCCGCCTAAAGTTCCAGGCACCTTTTCAGTGGGGCATATTACCAGGAAGGGACACCTAGGCTTAGGAGGACCAGCCAGACACAACTTGGTTGGATGCATAAGGACAGGTGGAGGTACCTGAGCAACTCCCTCTCTTTCAGTTCTAGCTGCAACATGAGGGCGTTAAGTTCCATGTACAGGTTGTTGGCTCTCTCCAGCTTCCGTTCGTAGTGCTCCCTAATATCCAAGGCATGTCTGAAATGGGCAGAAGGATTCCCCAAGGTAAACAGTTATCAGTCTGTGGACAGGTAGTGTCCACAGTCTTTGCTATTAGTAAAATCGCCTTCCCAAACAGGCGCTCACCTGAGCTCCTCCCTCCTCCGCATCACCAGCTCCTCTTCTAGGCGGTGCAGACAGGTCCCTTCTGACTTGATCTTTTCAAAGTGCAGCTTTACTTCTTCTCGCCACTCTGCCTGGGGGGGGGGGGGGGGC